AGTTCACGCATGTTGTTCTCATCATTCGTTTTGAAAGCAAGATTAGCATTCATACGCTATCGGCAAAATAGTGCAGAATTTCCACGTGATACTACTCTTCTTGTGTAATCTGATTGCTATTAAGGATTAATGAAATCATTGATCAGATACTTGCCTCCAGGTCGGTCCCTCTTTCATTTTATAGTGAAACGATATGATAATCTGTCGAGGCTAGGCCATGGTCTATGGCCCAAAGCATATAAACAACAGCTCAGATAAGCTAGCAAGAACGATGGGTCAAATGTCATCTATTAACACGGGGCCACAGGCTTTATAATACACGCATTCAAGATAGGGCAAACATGACAGCAAACAGCTAGAGACTCCACCGAGTATCACAGCAATGAGCAATTACGTATTTTCGAAACGAATTTGACTCCTAGGAAGAAAAAATCATCATCGTCCTCATCATTCCTTTGTTTTTTTCTTCTTTTTTTCCTAATCGAGTGATGATACAAGAGTCTCCGACTCGGTAGACCGAAGTGGGAGTCCGACTGAGCCGGCCCGTAGGGGCAATTTTACGCTTTTGCCCCCTCGATATAACAGCAGCCACTACAAAAAAACAAGGATTTAGCCACGGAAATTAGTGACGAATAATTTTTCGTGGCTAATTTTGCGATGGAATTTGCGACGAATTTTTTTTCGTCGCAAATTAGCGACGAAAAATTATTCGTCGCTAATTTGCCACGAAAAAAAAATTCGTCGCAAATTCCATCGCAAATTAGCGACAAAAAATTCGTGACAAATTTGCGACGAATTTGCCACGAAAAAAATTTCGTGGCTAATTTGCGACGGAATTTGCCACGAAAAATTTCGTGGCTAATTTGCAACGAAATTAGCAACGAATTTTTTCCGTTGCTAATTTGCGACGGAAGTTGCCACGAAAAAATTTGTGGCTAATTTGCGACGGAATTTGCCACGAAAAAATTCGTGGCAAATTTGCGACGGAATTTGTGACGAAATTCTTTTTCCGTTGCTAATTTGCGACGGAAAAAATGTCGTCGCTAATTTGCGATGAAATTTTCTCACGAAAAAATCCGTCACTAATTTGCTTGAAATTTGCGACGAAAAATTATTCGTTGCTAATTTGCGACGGAGTTAGTGACGGATTTTTTTCGTCGCTAATTTTGCGACTTAATTTCCTTCATGATATTTGCTCAACGAGTGTTAAAAGCATCACACATGGAGAAAGCTGGAGAGAGACATTCCAATTATTCTTTACAATTTAGAAAGGATATTTCCTCTATCGTTTTTTGATTCAATGGAGCATCTCTTAATTCACTTGCCTTATGAGGTCAAAATTGCAGGTCATGTCCAATTTCGATGGATGTATCCATTTGAGAGGTGAAAAATTTTTCAAAATAAATTTCAAAATACTTTATTATATATTATGTTCTGATAAACTTCTTTCTATTGTAACAAGGTTCTTATATCATTTGAAGAAAAAAGTTAAGAATAAGGCGTGTGTTGAATCTTCAATTTGTAATACATATATTATGGAAGAAGTGACAACATTTGCATCATACTATTTTGAGTCGCGCGTGCAGTGCAAGAGGCAAAGAGCGGGAAGAAATGATGAGGATCACATCGATCCCAATTGCAAATCATTCTCTATTTTCAATTATCTCGGTCGACCAAGCGGTGCATGTAAGTTTCGTTACTTAACAGGCGAAGAACAACAGACTGCCCATGCATATATTTTACTGAACTTTCTAGAAGTGGAGCCATACTTTCAGTAAGTGTATATTTGCAAATATATGTATTGCGTGTCAAATATTTACTAATATATAAATGTAAATTGTTAATAGGATTTTTCAAAATTCAATGTATGGACTACCACCAAATGAGTTTGACCGTTTATGCGATGAACAATTTGCAGCATGGTTCAAAACATATGTAAGTTGTCTATAGACCAAAACCAAGTTATTAATATTTTATACATCATTTAAATATATATTATTGACTTTGTGTGTGTGATGTTAGGTTCACAGTAATCATGATCAAGTTGAATAGCAAGGATTGCTATATTATCTGTCATGGGGTCAACAGTTAAGCATACGAACTTAGCCAGCATATTTCATAAACAGGTATAATTTTCACACTCAAGAATATGGAATAGGAAAAGCCACAATGAATAGTGGTGTGTGTGTTCGGTCATCAAATTGTGGTAGTTCAAAAGATGATTTTTATGGCTTGTTAGATGAAATCATCGAGATAGAGTACCCCGGACCATTAATGCGGGTTGTATTATTTAAGTGCATGTGGTTCGACCCCGTCAAAGGAATGAAGGTGCATACAAAGTTTAATTTGGTTGAAATAAATCACAAGAAAAGGTATATGAAATATAAACCATTTGTGTTGGCACAACAAGCAATTCAAGTATATTATGCATCATATCCTAGTTTGAAACGTGACAAAACTGATTGGTGGGCTATATGTAAAATCAAAGCACGAAAAAAAATCGAGGAACACTGGAAGGATACATCATATCAACAAGAGGAAGTTTGTAACGCGATTCAAACTAAGGAATATAACATTCCTACTCTACGAGATCCATGTGGAGCAATGATAGATGTAGATCTAACTGAAATTCGCGAATCAAATTTAGAAAGTGTTGCAGAATCTGATTTTGAGACAGAAGATGATGAGGATGATGATGAGGATGAGGATGATGATGATGATGATGACGACGACGACGATGATGCTTAAGAAGAAGATCAAGATCAAGATGAAGACGAATGTGAAGATGAAGATTTAGATTTTTGAGATTTTTTACTAATTATATCATAATTTTTTTATTATTATTATGACAAGAGTTTATTGTTGTTGTCATATTTATTATTATTGTTGTTGTCGTAATTATTAGTATTGTTGTTGTTATTGTTATTATTATTATTGCTATTATTGTTAATTAAACGTTATTGTCGGGAAAAAAAATGAATTAGGCGTGTGTGGGCTAGTAGAAATGAAATTCGTGGCTAAATCCGTAGCAAATTTGCGACGGATTTATCAACAAATTTCATAAAAAAATTGCCCACAATTCATTTTTTATGAAACTCGTGGTAAACTCCGTGGCAAATTTGCCACGAATTTTTAAAAAATGGCCACAAACATGCATAAGTAATCTTTTCATGAAATCCGTGGCAAATTTGCCACGGATTTCATAAAAATGCCTATACACATGCCTACGTTCATTTTTTATGAAATTCGTGGCTAAAATCAGTGGCAAATAAAATTCGTGGCAAAAATCCGTAGCAAATTTGCCACGAATTTCATAAAATGCCAAAAATTCATTTTTTATGAAATTCGTGGCTAAAATCCGTGGCAAATTTGCCACGGATTTTTGCCACGAATTTCATAAAAAAATGAAAGTAGGTATGTGTGTGGGCATTTTTTAAAATTCGTGGCAAAAATCCGTGGCAAATTTGCCACGGATTTTAGCCACAAATTTCATAAAAAAATGAATTTTTGGCATTTTATGAAATTCGTGGCAAATTGCCACGGATTTTTGCCACGAATTTCATAAAAAATGAACGTAGGTATGTGTGTGGGCATTTTTTAAAATTCGTGGCAAAAATCCGTGGCAAATTTGCCACGGATTTTAACCACAAATTTCATAAAAAAATGAATTTTCGCATTTTATGAAATTCGTGGCAAAATCCGTGGCAAATTTGCCACGGATTTTGCCACGATTTCATAAAAAATGAAAGTAGGTATGTTTGTGGGCATTTTTTAAAATTCGTGGCAAAAATCCGTGGCAAATTTGCCACGGATTTTAGCCACGAATTTCATAAAAAAATGAATTTTTGGCATTTTATGAAATTCGTGGCAAAAATCCGTGGCAATTTGCCACGATTTTTGCCATTTTCATAAAAAAATGAGCGCAGGCATGTGTATGGGCATTTTTTAAAATTCGTGGCTAAAATCCTTGGCAAATTTGCCACGGATTTTATACAATTTCATAAAAAATGAATTTTTGGCATTTTATGAAATTCGTGGCAAAATCCGTGGCAAATTTGCCACAGTTTTGCCACAATTTCATAAAAAAATGAAAGTAGGTATGTGTGTGGGAATTTTTTAAAATTCGTGGCAAAAATCCGTGGCAAATTTGCCCACGGATTTCATAAAAAAATGAATTTTTGGCATTTTATGAAATTCGTGGCAAAAATCCGTGGCAATTTGCCACAGTTTTTGCCATGAATTTCATAAAAAATGAACGTAGGTATGTGTGTGGGCATTTTTTAAAATTCGTGGGAAAAATCCGTGGCAAATTTGCCACGGATTTTAACCACGAATTTCATAAAAAATGAATTTTGGCATTTTATGAAATTCGTGGCAAAAATCCGTGGCAATTTGCCACAGATTTTTGCCACAATTTCATAAAAAATGAAAGTAGGTATGTGTGTGGGCATTTTTTAAAATTCGTGGCAAAAATCCGTGGCAAATTTGCCGCAGTTTTATAGCCAAATTTCATAAAAAAAATGAATTTTTGGCATTTATGAAATTCGTGGCAAAAATCCGTGGCAATTTTGCGGATTTTTGCCAATTCATAAAAAATGAACGTAGGCATGTGTGTGGGCATTTTTTAAAATTCGTGGCAAAAATCCGTGGCAAATTTGCCACGAATTTTAGCCACGAATTTGATAAAATACCAAAAATTCAGTTTTATAAAATGTCCATACACATGCTTACGTTCATTTTTTATGAAATTCGTGGCTAAAATCCGTGGCAAATTTGCCACGAATTTTAAAAAATGCCCACACATATGCCTACGTTCATTTTTTCTTAAATTCGTGGCAAAAATCCGTGGCAAATTGCCACGGATTTTTGCCACGAATTTTAAATAGTCCGTGGCAAATTTCGAGTTCCCCGCCCTTAGTCCCAATTTGCCCGCCCTCTTCCCCCATTCTCTCTCTCTCTTTCGTTTGACTCTATCAAATCAGATCTGCTTCCAATTCTCATTCTCCTTCTTCCCTCTCCCCTACACCCCCCACACTCCCAGACCTCTCGCGCTCGCTAGGGTTTTAGTTACCCCCTTCCCCCCCGCACTTCCTCCCGCGACTCCTCCTCGCCCGTGGCCTCCGGAGCCCTAGAGGAAATTGAGCCAGAGAAGAGCAATCTCCGATTCGATCCTTCCCGGAGCTCACCGTCCATGGCGATCATCTCCGACTTCGAGGAGGAAGAGGAGAAGCAACCTGAGGCCAAGCCCTCGGCCTCGTCCTCGTCCTCGTCCTCGGCCTCCTCCTCTGCCGCGGCGGAGTTCATCGCGAGGTTCGATCCGTCCAGCCTGCTGGGGTTCATCGAGGAGGCCTTCGAGTTCGTGGCCGAGCGGAGCGATTTCCTCGCGCATGAGGCGGCGGAGAGGGACATCGCGGCGGTGTTGAGGGCGGTGAGGGAGAAGCAGAAGCAGAAGCTGAGGCAGGTCGAGAGGGAGCGGGAGAGGGCTAAGAAGGTGGAGGAAGAGAAGAAGGTGCAGGAGGTGGAGATGAAGGATGCGAAGGAAGAGAAGGAGGAGAAGAGTGGAGCGATAGGTAAGAGCTTTTGATTTTTCTTGGACAGTGTCGTGATTTGTTGCTTGCTACGCATGAGCGCGATGAGTGCCTGTTGAGACGCTGCTGGGGTTGAGACATTTGGGAGATTAGATGAGAAGTACATTACATAGTGATCGCTCATGATGTGGCTCTTTTCTCCTGCTGTAGTTAGGCTGTGACGGTTTCGTGGCCGTAGTCATCTATATAACTTGGATGTTTTCTCTGGTTGGCTATTTAATGGCGATGGGCAGGGAAAATGTTTCATTCTATTATGCTATCAATTTCGCTAAAGTGTGGATATTCTTTGATGGGTACTTGCTCCTTTGTTCAGCAATCTGAACTCTCCCGAATAATTAAATTTCTCTTGTGTTGATCTCTTCTATAATCTGTTTAAGCGTGCATCGGCTTATTCAAGTATTCTTTTTTTTTTTTCTGAGATGGAAGGTACTATTGCCCGTACTCATGTTGGTCTCGAAGATAATCACAGCACAGCTTCGAGTTTTGCTGTGGCACTTGGCAACAGCAGTTGGTCTGATCTTCCGTCTCCAAGCTCTTGGAACATTGATATTCTCGTAGATTCAATCAAGCAGCTTGTGAGTTTGACATTTCTGATTCAATCTTTGGCTTTAATGGTATGCGTATAGTACACTTTTAGAAGCAATTCTTTGAATACAGGCGCCTGGAATCAATTGGTTATCAGTAATTGAAAGCCTGGATCATGAAGGATTCTACTTGCCTAATGAGGAAGCATTTTCTTTCTTCATGTCTGTTTATCGATGTGCTTGTCAGTTGTGTTTGCATGTCTTGTCTGGTTTTTGGAAATTATTTTGCCTGAACATGAAGTTCTATTATGAGCCCTAGCAACTTATCTACTGAAGTTTATGGAATCTTGAACTTGGGTTGTGCAGGATCCTTTTCCTCTCAAGGCCATATGTGGGTCTGTCTGGAAGAATATTGAGGGCCAGATATCATTCTTAAAATATGCTGTGTCAGCTCCTCCCGAAGCATTTACCTTTGCTCATTCTGCGAGGCAGCTGGTATGTGCTATAGAACTTGTAATCCTTCCCTTTATTGTTTATTTGGTTCTAATTATATGGTAAAATTCTGTGTAGGCTTATGTTGATGCGATAAATAGTCATAAGCTCCAGCTTGGACATGCAAATCATGCTTGGTTGTGCCTTGACCTCTTAGATGTGTCGTGTGAAATTGCTGAGGCTGGTTACGCTGGATCTGTTCGCGCAATGCTTGAATACCCTCTCAAATGCTGTCCAGAAGTCTTGCTTCTTGCAATGGCACATATTAATGTATGCAATTGGAAGTGCATTGACACTTTTCATCGTTTGTCTTGATATAATCATCCTGAATTTGAATCTATGCATTCCTGTGCTTGTAGACTGTATATAATCTCCTGCAGTCTGAAGTCTCCCTTGCCGTGTTTCCCATGATAATGAAAAATGCTGGGGGTGTCGGCATGATCCTTTACCTCTGGCATGTTAACCCGATTCTTGTGTTGAGGGGGTTTGTTGATGCTGCAGGTCTTGATCCAGACTGCATGACTAGAATACTGGACATTTGTGAAGAGCTTAAGGTGAGAGACAGCTGGAAGTTTTTACTGATCCACCCTCTAGGATTTTTTTATGCATTATATTGCTCAGATACCCCGACACTTCTTGTCTTTGTCTTTTCCCCATTAAATGGCTAATGCATTAGACTTATTCACAGTGGACTACATCCTGCGTTTGCAAAGGTGGGTTAAAAATATCTTCATGGATGTCTGATTGCATTCCTTGATAGGCGAGTGATCTTTAAGTCTGTCAAGCAGCTTACTCAGCGATGCAAAAACAGAGAAATACAAAGATCTGCATGCTCTGCTTCAACTCCTTTCTAGCCTTTGTTCAAAAGATCTGGTACTGACATTTCTGTTCATTCATTATTTCATGTTTTGCCTTTCCTAATGTTATCTGAATTTTGCTGTGGCAAATCATTTACTCTTCCATACTTGATCAAGTGTAGGCTGATTTTTCATCGGATTCTTTGGAAGACCATGGAACAAGCATATCTCAGGTGAATCTTATGATGCAAAGCACCAAGAGTTGTGTTGAATGGTGTCTAATTATCGACTTTGCTGGTTGTCTTCTATGGTCTTCACATAGTCACTCCTCTGATATCTTTGGAGCTGCTGAAGTACCCCAAGCTCTGTCGTGATGTGAGTTGAGTCATTCACATCATACAAGAAATGGACTTGGGACTTTTTTTTTTTGAGTTCTGCTTGATGTTTACTCCCCCTCTTTTCTTTTTATAACTGCAGTACTTCTCCTTGCTGTCACATATGTTGGAAGTATATCCTGAAATGGTGGGACAACTAAACAATGAAGCCTTTAGTCATATTCTTGAGACTCTTGAATTTGGTCTGCATCATCAGGTAATGCTTTCAGCTTTTCTTTGTGAAAGGATATTCAGTCCTTTAGTGGCTATAAGTTGACGAGTCAATCGGAGAAAAGTTGTTTCTCATATATGTTTCTTTATTGCTCATGGCTCCAGTAGATGGCACCATCAAAATTGGCATTCTTCTCCATGGTGCTTAGTTGATATGCGTTTACTTTGGCTTGTGGCTTTATATCTTTCTATAATGTGAAAATGTTACTTTCTCCACATGATTTAGGATTCAGAAGTGGTTAACATGTGTCTGAGAGCTCTTCGAGCACTTGCTTCCTACCACTACAAGGAAACAGCTAGTGGGAAGTTGGGCTTGGGATCACATGCCTCGAGTCTTAGAAATCCAAATTCTAATTTTAACTGAAGATTTTCCATCGACACGGAAGGGGAGCTTGATTTTTATTACCAGATATTATCCTAGAAGAAGCAAGATGCTCCGCAAGAACTTCACGATCTTATTACCTCAAAGAGATCCCGAGCATGGCAAAATACCCTTGAGAGGATTATGTTCAAGTACATTGAGCTATGTGTTGATATGCGGAGGGGGAGATTTGCCAAGGATGTTCAAGTACATTGAGCTATATGTTCAAGTACATGGAAAATGTAAATGAATGTATTTCATTTTCATATTATTATAATAGTTTGATCACATTGAGCTATATGTTCAAGTACATGGAAAATATAGATGAATGTATTTCATTTTCATATTATTATAATATTTTGATGTTATTAAGTGCTTAATCAATGTTAAATACAAATTCTAGAAATTAATTTTGCTTTAAATTACATTTAAAATTGAATAAGAAAATGAAATACATTCATTTTGGTGGGTAATTTAAATTACCCACGAATTTTGCCACGAATAAGTTCGTCGCAAAAAATTGACAAAAAAAAAAATTCGGTGGCAAATTAGCCACGAATTTTGTCACGAAATGTGTTCGTCGCAAATTAGCGATAAATTTTGCCACGAATAATTAGCAACGATTTTTGCCACGAAAATATTTCGTCGCAATTTAGTGACCAAGAAGAAAAATTTTGAAAAAAATAGCGACGAATTTTGCCATGAATATTTAGCGATGAATTTTGCCACGAATAATTTGCCACGAATAAGCGACGAATTTTGTCACGAATATATTTCGTGGCAAATTAGCGACGAATTTTGCCACGAATAAAATTCGTGGCAAATTAGCGATGAATTTTGCCACGAATATATTTCGTGGCAAATTAGCGACGAATTTTGCGACGAATTTTGTTTCGTGGCAAATTAGCCACGAATTTTGCCACGAATAATTAGCGACGAATTTTGCGACGAATTTTGTTTCGTGGCAAATTAGCCACGAATTTTGCCACGAATAATTAGCGACGAATTTTGCGACGAAAATTGAAATTTTCCGTCGCAAAATTTTGCGACGGCTTATTAGCGACGAATTTTTTTCCGTCGCTAATTTCGTCGCAAATTCTTTTAGCGACGAATTTTGCCAAATTTTTCGTGGCAAAATTCGTGGCTAAAACCAACTTTTTTTGTAGTGAGCCCACATTTCTCTTCTCAAGCTTCTTTCTTCCTTCTTCTTAATTTTTGTTTCGTTTTAGTTATTTTTATTTTGCTCTATGGTCAAGCTACTAGCAGAGCCGTGATGTGAAATTGTTGTGAACGGTTTTGCAAATAAAAATGGTTATTTGCAATCGAAATATACAAAATCTATATAATACTCCTTATTCGATATCATATACAAGAGGGTTGTTACGCGACATATTAATGTAGACCGTAATTACATTTGTTGGTAGATTAAACCAAATACTAAGACTCCATCGCAACTTGCATAGCTTTGATGACTATCGTCATTATAGTGCAATAACCGTTGTATTCGGGTTATTTGTTTTGCTAAAAAAGTTATTATCCATTTTATGTCTCATGAGAGAACTTGATCACTCAAAATGATCAATGGGCGAGTCCAAATTTGGCCTGGCGAAGCACGCCCATCAACATACAAAAGTATATAATAAATTTGTCGATTGAGCTCTACAACTATAGGATCTTACTCAAGCCTTGCCTAAATATGCTTTTGGGCACTTGTGGCGGGCAGTGAGCTGCCAAGTTAATGATCAGGTCTATTAATCGCATATTAAGAAATTGGAGACTAGAAAGATAAGTAGTTTTCACTAAGAAATCCACGTCAACGAGCTTTTGTGTCCTCTTAAAGTGCTAAGTCAACGCTCCGAGCTTAATCGTCTCTTGCAGGGTATATTAGGCAGTCGAGTCTTGACATCCTTGACCTTAAATTATGAAAAAGAAAAGAAAAGCAAAAGTATTAACCACTTGGCTGAATCTATAAGGTGAAAAAGATGAGGTGCTCAAATAGGAACAACTAGCCGATTAGTTCGGGGGGAGGCGGGCGTAGGTTCTTGTCATTTCCCCAAAATGGAGCTGATCCCGGTTTAGTAAACGGTGAATAGTGTCCGTCGAATGAGGCTTTGCGATGCGCTCGACCGCCCCGGACAGAATTCGGGGAGTCAAAGATGGAGTGAAATGCAACTTTTCGGCCGTTTAACACTATCCGGGAATAATCTCGCTCGCGATTTTTTGAGCTTTGCGGTTACGACCCACCTCCAGTGATGATGGGTCTGCATATGAACGGCCCGAGTTAAATGCATCTTCTTTTATCCGAGTAATTTTTTGAGAAATGATTAAGTGACAGTTCTTAATCTACCGTGAGATTAATAGCACATCACAAAAAGTTAAATAACAAATAATTATAAATCGTTATAGAGTCCACATTTTCAAGAATTTATGACTCTTAACATGCTGTTACTCTCAGAGTGGCCCAAAGACTGTTATGCTAGCAAAACCCAATTACCTCTCTGATTTGGTCAAAGATGGGTCATTCATACCCTTAATCTTACGGATATCGTCTTGCCAGGCACACCATCAAGATTTGCCTCTCTGATTTGGTCGAAAACGGGTCATCCATGCCGTTAGTATGAAAACTGGGCACTTGTGATATTTTTCTTTAGAGGTTGTGGCGAGCACCAACCAACTCTGAGACTCGCATCTTTTGAGGGGTGGTGGGTGGTGAGTCGACCAATCCCCTAAAATTTGTCTCAGTCGAGACTTATTATTGCAGTTATTGATTGGACTCGTTTTATTTTGCATCGATGTGATTTCATTATTTTCATACAACGAAAGGATTATGAAATTCTCTAATATTACATTACGTTATCACTTCATTAGCTTTGACAATGCCAATCATCCAGATAAATAATAAGGAATAAAAATGTTTGGTACCAATATATCAAAACAAGTAATACTTTAAAATTGAGAAAAATTGTCCAAAAAGTCATAAACCCGTTGCACTTTTGTCAATTCAGTCCTAGACCTTTTAATTGTGCCAATTGAGTACTAAATCTTTTCACATTTTGTCAATATAGTCCATCCGGCCAAATTTAGCCGAAAATTACTAATATGGATGATGGCCGTCCTACGTGGCACCGTTGGCATTGCCGTGGCCAATTGTTAATAATATATTAATATTTTTTATTTTTTATTTTTATTTTATTTTTTTAATCAGTTTATACTCTACTGTCGTTTAGATTAACTATATGGAAGTCTTGAAGTAAAAAAAAAAATAACTATTCAGTAGGGGTGTGCAACCGGACCGGGTTTATCCGGGAACCGGACCGGCCCACCCGAAAAACAGGTTCGGGAACCGGTTCTTGTTTGAACCGGTCCGGGAACCGGTTCTATATTTTTGAAACCGGTTGGAACCGGTCCGGTTTCCGGGTCTAGGTGAAAACCCACCCGGATCGGTTTTTAGAACCGGTTTGAAGTTACTGTGAAAACAGTAAAAACCCTAAATCAGACTCTCAATTCTCAGCCTCACTTCTCAGTCTCGAGTCTTGACTCTCTTCTTGCCCTTCTCAGTAAAAACCCATCCGCAAGAGCTCGTCGCCGAAGCTGCTCGCCGCTCGTCGCCGCGGCTTGGCTCGTTGCCGCGGCTGCTCCCCGCTCGTCGTCCACGGGGTGCTCGCCGCTCGTCGCCGCCGCTTGGCTCGTCGCCACGGGGTGCTCGCCGCTCGTCGCCCGCGGGGGGCTCGTCGCTCGTCGCCGCAGTTTATAGTCTTATGCTTGCAAACGGGTTTATAGTCTTATGCTTGCAATTTCGCAATGCTGTTGCTCAATACACCCGGCGAGAGCTGAGTTCAAGAAAAGTTCTAATTTTTTGCGCAAAGCAAGTCCCTTTTTCATGTTAATGAAAAGTAGGAAGGATCTGTGATGGGGTCGAGTTCAAACCTCAGGGACCCGCATTCTCCTTTCCTTATGATGAAGACTTGAAATCTTTTACCTTCAAATTGAAAGATGACATCTTTTAGCGTCTGCCCGTGGCATAAAGTCGACGTTTGTAGATAGGCAACACCTGCGTTTTACATTTTCCTCACAGTAGACATGTATGCTTTAGGGGAGTAGCTGTTGGAGGATGCAGTCTGAAAGTTGAAGTCAACTTTTCAGATTTCCTGCTTATTGTTTGAGCCATTGTTACTTCATCCTGATTATCTATTTTGTTTTACTCTTGCTATGATGTGAGAAAAGTTAAGATAGATAAGAAAAGATTATTGAAGCTGGAGTTTTGATTATGGGTATTTGCTTAGCTTGATTGCCTGTTTAGCGCGAAATCAAACATAACTTCTGCAAACAGTACAAGTTGTGTTGTGAGCAAATTACTGGGTCAAGTTTCAAATGGTTGACTTAATTTTTGAAGATCTTTGGAATAACTGATTCTTCTCATGCAATCGTCTTAGTGGTCAGCTAAATGAGATGTAATTAGGTCGCTCTGTGCCACTTGGTTTTGGACATCCGCATGATTTTGGAAATAAAATAGAGTTAATCATTTTTCTTGTGCCCATTTACTGTTTTTCATTTGCTGCTATGATTAAACAAGGGTAATAATGAAGTCATTCAAACTTGATACTGGTCATCATTAATAAATTCAGACTTTAAGCTTGGATGGAATTGTAATATGAAGCAGATTATGTTATGGTTAATGTGGATGTCCATATAGCTGTAGAGTTCTTAGCACATGTCAATCTCAGCGAGCGGATCTTCTCTTTTTTTACTTTGTCAGGATGCTGATGAAAGTGAGGAGCCCACGCAGTCCACTAGTGCAATTGCTCATGGTGAGGACTTTGCTGTTCTGATGACATCATTATTATATCTTCTGATAGTTTTTCGAAATTTTGAGCTTGGTTATACCATGCCCATGGTGGTTGATTGGTGTATATAATTTTTCTGAATAGTTATTTTTGTTGAGAGGGTGGAATAATTATTGGCACTGATGCTTATATTGCATCACTGAAGTGGCTTACTACCAAATTTTGTGCGCTTGTGAACCTTAGAGCGTCTTATGCTTTTACCTGATCTTTAACACTTTGTCGATTTGATGCTGGAGGACAAATGTGATCTACTTTGGGACCTCTTTGTGGATTGTTTATTTTGCTTCGAATTTCTGTAACCAGGAAAAGAAAAAAAAAATAGGTTACTGGGTAGACCCTGAAACCGGACCGGAAAAACAGGGTAGGTTTCAAAACAGGGTCTAGGGAAAACAGGGTAGGTTTCAGGTTCCAAAAAATGAGAACCGGTTATAACATGGTAGGTTCCAGGTTCCAGGTCTGAATCCTACCCACCCTAGAACCGGTCACCCCTACTATTCAGTGAGGGCTTGCAGAAGTCCTAGTTTTCTCCTTATAATACCATTATCGTACGAGTTTGGGTTGTAGAGAGCTCATCCTATGGGCACCTATGTGTTGGATTGGGCCCATTGGGGCCAGATGGAGCAACTTGGTCCTACTGGGTATTACTCGATACCAGAGAGGTGCCGATGAGGCTTTTAATCTCCTGTCTGAAACTGTGATTATCGCATTGTGCACATCCCCAGAGTTGTGGAAGTTTAGGGCGCGTTTGGTAACGCTTCTGTTTCTCTATTTTTCTGTTCTTCTGTTCTCTGGAACAAAAAAAGAACAGAAATTCGTTTGGTAACGCATTTTATTTTTCTATTTCCTGGAATAGAAAAGTGGCCAAGAAATAGATTTGGAGCAGAAATAAGAAGTAGAAAAAATCTACTTCTTTGTTCCTAGAAATAGAAATAGAAATAGAAAGGTTCGGTCCTCAAGCAGCGACCTCAGCTCCTCCTCCATCCTCCGTCGTCTGCAAACCGTCTCAAAGCACCGGTCCGGTCCATTCTCGGCGGAAATAATAAAAAAATTAAAAAAATTAATTAAATTATAAAAAATTAAAAAATTCCAAAAATTCATAAAAATAGGAAAAATTCTCAGAAAATCCATAAAAATCAGAAAAACTCAGAAAACCCATAAAAATTTGCAAAATTTCGAAATTGAAAAAATTAAAAAAAATTCATAAAAAGCCTTCTGGAAAATAAAAAGAGACAAATTCGGGAAAGTAAAAAGTTTTAATAAACTTTTCCCCAAAAAAAATCAAAAATAAAAAATTCACATAATGGCTTAGAATAAATTAAAAAATTCCAAAAATTCATAAAAATTAGAAAAATTTCAGAAAAATCCCATAAAAAATTAGAAAATTAAAAAATTCCCAAAATTCATATAAATCAGAAAAATTCTCAGAAAATCCATAAAAATCAGAAAAACTCAGAAAACCCTTAAATATTTGCAAAATTCCGAAATTGAAAAAATTAAAAAAATTTCATAAAAAATTTTCGGAAAAATAAAAAGAAACAGATTTAGGGAAAGTAAAAAATTTTAATAAATTTTACCCCAAAAAAATATAAAAAAATTCACATAATGACTTAGAATACCTGTGGCCACCCACTTTGAGTGAAATTTAAATTTTTGAGGTGCCCAAGTGGTATTTTTGAAGATTCCTTAGTTTAGGGATTAAAAGGGGTTTTAAACCCCTAAAAAGGATTAGACAAACCAATAAATCATGCTTATTGATTTTTTTCACTTATAACTTGTACTTATAGTTAAATAAAAGATATAGATTTGAATGCAAAAAATTGAGAATAGAAATTTTGTGCAATTATCAAATGCATTTCTATTCTTTTTCTATTCCAGGAATAGAAATTTTGTGCAGTTACCAAACACATTTTTGTTCTAGAAATAGAAATTTTGTGCAGTTACCAAACGCATTATTTTGCTCAAAAACTCTTCCAGGAAATAGAAATAGAAAAAACTATTTCTGAAAAGAAATTATTCCCAGAAATAGAAACGTTACCATACGCACCCTACTGTCGAAACTTCAGATATGTTCCCAGCATTTGTCCATGTCCAACAGAACCCAGCTTGACTTATGAATGTGATCATATCGGGAAATGTAAAATTGATACGTGATGGGGATGCGATTTGAGTGACAACAAGATTTTTGATAGATAAATGATCATCACCACACCAAGGCATCTGTCACTCCACCAGCTAAGGATAAGGATCGAGATAAATGAAATTCACCACTAGGAACACCATCAACCAAGGAGAAATGATTTCGGGATATAAAAGAAGTTCACCACCAAGGCCTAAAGGAAACCCACCCGCAAAGGATAAAGGATTCTTTGGTTCACCACCGAAAAACTTGGATAAGAAATCAGGATAGAAATTCGCTCATTTGAAGAAAATCTCACTTCACTACACAAAAAACATGTTTTTTGCGACGAAAAAATCGCAAAAATCCGTCGCAAATCGTTTTTGCGACGAATTTAGCGACGGAAAAAATTCCGTCGCTACTAGCCACGAACACTATCCGTCGCAAATATTTCGTCGCAAAATTCGTAACAAAATTCGTCGCAAATTTCGTCGCAAATTACACTACAAAAAAAGTTGATTTTAGCGACGAATTTTGCCACGAAAAATTTGGCAAAATTCGTCGCTAATAGGCCGTCGCAAAATTTTGCGACAAATTTTTCAATTTTCGTCGCTAAATTGCAACGAAAAAAAATTCGTCGCTAATTTTTCGTCGCAAAATTCATCGCTAATTTTTCGTCGCAAAATTCGTCGCTAATTTTTCATCGCTAATTTTTCGTCGCAAAATTCGTCGCTAATTTTTCGTCGCAAAATTTGTCGCTAATTTTTTTGGTCGCAAAATTCGTCGCTAATTTTTCGTCGCAAAATTCGTCGCTAATTTGCCACGAAATTCTTTTTTTTTTGTCAGTAATTTGCGACAAACTGATTCGTGGCAAAATTCGTCGCTAATTTGCCACGAAAATTTTTTACTTTTGCCACGAACATTGTTTCGGAACGAATTTAGCGACGAATTTTTATTAATTCGTCGCAAATTAGCAACGAACTATAAAAATAGTTGCGAATATGCAGCAAAAATTTATTACAGGTTGGCCTCCTACTAGTCAAGATAACCATGTGCGTCGTAATCACAACTAGCACAATGCAAATTGTATCTAATCCACGGCTAAAACCTGGTATATCTACCACAAACTCAGCCTTGCGAAGTTCCTTCTAACCTCTGATATCAAGTACATGAATATTAGCAGCAATAGTTCATGCTTTAATATAAATTCTCATTACCAATGCGCCCTATTTGTCACACTATTTGAAACCAAATGTGTTTATATCATGTATGGGAACTTTTGCAAAAGAAAACAAAAAACCATGAATTGACACGATGAAGCTGAATTTTCTATACCACTGTGATATCTCATAAATCAAACAACATAGGACCTCACAGCAGAACATACCCACTGAGATCAAGCAATTCTAAATCCGAAAAGCTTGAAGCTATAGCAACAACAGATGCATCAGTGATTTCTGATCCAAGCACCAGTGATAGCATCCGCAAACCCCTGTACAATGAAAAAATTTAGCAGTGGTCATCAAAGCTGTATCTAATTAATGATACTTCAATGCTCTTATGGAAAATTTCGGTCCTTAGTATCTAGGAAGTGAACTTAGGATCTATATGATCACTAGACAGCAAAATGTGTGGAACAAGGACTTACAAAGCTCTAGAGCTTAAAGGAAATAAATGCCTGTTTGAAGCTGTTATCTTATGCAACATGCATGACCAAGTTACAGAACACATCTTAGGGTTCTCCACCCCAGAAATGCCTCAATACATATATAACCAAGATCCAAACAAATCTCATATGAAAGACCTAACCCGCAAAAGGGGAACAGAAAGTTTACCCTGTAATCCGGTTGACAGCATTAGAGGATGTTGAGATCTCCACAGACTCCAGATTAGGGCATGAGAACGCAATGCAAGCCAGCATCATCGCATCTAAATCACTGCGAAAGCCAACCAACAGAACAAGAACCGAATCAGTGTCATAAATCCAGAAAAATTTGACGAAGCTCAAGCACATGATCTCGAACTGGAATTAATTGTGAGATCCAATCAGGATCCTCACAACTGATTCACAAGTTCTAGGCCTTCCTTAAAGGGTTAATGTGCGAATCCTGAAACTCCCTGATTCATGAAAGTTTGTCCATAAATGCTGATCAAGCATATGAAGATTGTCGTTTCTTCTTTGCTAAGCCTGTCAACAAATATATAGGAAAAAGACAACCAAAAAATAGTAATTCTAGCTCAATCCGAGTCTCCATGATCTGTCCTGATGGATCAAACCTGAAGAGTAACACTTTTTTTTGGTCGAATGAACAGTAATACTTACGCACCTTAAAAAAGAATGTCTTCCAGGTACTGTAACACGCGAGCTTAAATTTTATACAATATGTAGCGCCCGCAGCCTACAACTGCAGATCACAAGGAAATGCTTAACTGTCGATGTCAACAAATATCAGTTCTGTAAGAATGACCTGAAAAACATCCATCCAGTTGACTCCAATTCAAGCTTGAATAAAGCTAACTCGTGTCCTACAGCGGGAACAAATTGAGCAGCATGAGTTTGTTCTGATGTCCCTATATTATAATCAAACCTCCAGTGCTCTTGGCTCCTGTTCTGTGATTGTAATCCTTGCATCAGAAATCCATAAAAGGGTCGGAGAAAAGGAATTCAAGATGGTGTCACCTAGAGCCAGTAAGTCCCCATGAACTTTGAAATTCCACTGATGATTTGGGTATCTCTTAACTGTCCCATTGCTTCCCGTGAACTTAAAGTGTATCAAGAACAGGTAGCCGGGAACCCACATAGCAAATAAGCAAGCAAAATGCAATTCATTAAGAAGACAACAACAAATTTTCACACAATCAGCATCGCCACCCATTTCTACAGACCCATGAGGTAAAAGTAAATCATATACAAAATGAATAGCAGAACAATATCAGTTTCAAAATCAACTTGTTAATCAGATAACGATTCTGGAGACCTTGCAGGTGCTTTGAGTCGGCTTATACAAGCAAGACATCCCCGGCAACCTCCTCAGGACCTCCCACAAGCACCGGGCGGGCAACCCGCCAGCGTCCACATCCCCGTCCACGAAATCCCGATCCTGCTCGTCGAGATCCGGCTCCACCTTGTCGAAGTCCTCCTCCTCGTCGGCGCGGACGTCGAGGTTGTCGAAGGAGAGCGCGCGGCGGAGGGGCTGCGGCGGAGGAGAGCGAGGACGGCGCGAGGGCGACGGCGGACACGGAGGAGGCGGCAGCGGCGGTGGCGTTGACGGGCATGGAGGAGGCCGCGACGGCGGCGGCGGTGGAGGAGGAGGAGGAGTCGGCGGCGAGGGAGGGGGAGGAGCCGGCGTGGCAGGAGCGGCCCTTCTTGGGGAGGCCGCAGCGGCCGCAGTTGTAGCTGCCACGCTTCTTGCCGCGCTTGGCGGCGGCAGCATCGGAGGAGGAGGGGACGGCGGGGGAGTCGGAGGGGGGGAGGTGGGGCTGGTGGAGGTGGCGGTGCATGGCGGAGGAGCGGCGGAGGAGGCTAGAGAGAGAGAAAGAGAAGAGATAAGTTAGAGAGAGAGAGAGGGAACGTTGTGGTGGTGGGGGAATAAAAAGAGCGAGCGAAGGGGAGACGATGGCGCGAGGGGGGAGGCGAGTTCGCGCGCGGGTTCCTGAAAATTTTTGAAAAACAAAAAAAAAATTGACACGAAGTGTATTCGTTGCTAATTTGCCTCGAAAAAATAAAAAGAATTCTATTTTTTTATTTAAAAAAATTCGTGATAAAATTCGTGGCTAATTTGCCACGAAGTGTATTCGTCGCTAATTTGCCCCGAAAAAACAAAAAATATATTCTATTTTTTATAAAAAAATTTCATGGCAAAATTCGTGGCTAATTTGTCACGAAGTGTATTCGTCGCTAATTTGCCCTGAAAAAACAAAAAAAAAATATTCTATTTTTTATTAAAAAAATTTCGTTGCAAAATTCGTCACTAATTTGCCACGAACTGTATTCATTGCAAAATTCGTCGCTAATTTGCCATGAAAAAACAAAAAACAAAGAATTTTTTTTGAAAAAAATTATGAAAAAAAATTCTATTCTCTAGCTGAGAAATTAACAGGCATATAACCAAGAAACAATTAAAACCGTCTATTTCTCTGAGACAGCTGAGAAATTAACTAGCGGGTGAAGGAAAGATTACTATAGCAATGTGCAAGTTTGGTATCAACGCCTAATAACCAAATCTTCTGTAAAAACACTAAATGGGATTTTCTGTCGCCTGTCACGTATGTAATGGATTTATCTCGAGTTTTTTTTTTTCTGTGTATCTCAATACTTGACTTTGGCTAAATTTCTCAGGTAACTTTATACCTAAAAGAAGTCATCATGTAATTTCTAATCGCATCCTTATGTGTACATGCTTATTCCGGCTACAACTATGATTTAATTCCAAGACATCTTACAAAAGGTATTTCCTTTGCATGACTTTCAAGCATCCAAAATAACTCCACAAATTCTAACAATATGTTGAAAGACCAAGCAGTTCCATTTGGTGACATAGATATAAACAGTAAGTACCATCTATGTTCAAGGAAATGGAGATGTAAATGTGACAAATTCGGAGGGTAATATAAAAGTCAGTTCGCATAACTATTAATTGTCAAACGCAAACAATAACAATCAATTGACTGAAGAGAACTTAATGAGATCAGAATTACAGTGTCATGAGACCTACCTAAATGACAAGCATAAGAACATAAATAGTCACTAACATTTTCTACTTGTTGAATTCAGATCCTATATACATTCAAAGAGCAACAGTCGACATGATAATATAGGAGCATGAAACTACCTTGACTGCCCCTTAATTCAGAGATCATAATAAGATACGTCCACTTCACCTACAAGTCAAAAGACATATTTATTGGGAAGGATGAACATGGTTACCAATAAGAAGCTACAACATTAAATCTGTTGGAGTTGACAAATACTTCGGGGACCCTTGTTTCTCACACCGGGTACACCCACGTGAGCTTAAGGAAACTGAAGTGTTATTCGATGACATGTGACCCCTGCGTGCGGAATGCGGGGGTTCGGGAGCAGCGCCCCCGACACGGGTGCCCCGCTGCCGGGTCAACGGGCGGGGGTTCGGGGGTAGCGCCCTGGGCTGGCCCGTATGGTGTGAGATTAAGAGATTTCGTATAGGTTTAGGTTTTGGGCCCGTTTGGGGCACATATATATTTTGCTCATTTTTCTGATCATTGTAACGAGTTGAGTGGCTGTAAACCGAAAATATAGTGAAATCTCTTTGCAGGACGTAGCCCTATTCGAGGGTGAACCTGGGTAAATTCATGCATCGTCTATTTTCTCTGATTTGCAACCGATTTATTTTTTCCGACGCAAATTTGCGACGGATTTATTTTTCCGTCGCAAATTTGCGACGGATTTTTTTTTTCCGTCGCAAATTTGCGAGAGACTTTTTTTTCCTTCGCAAATTTGCGACAGACTTTTTTTTCCGTCACAAATTTGTGACGGATTTATTTTTCAGTCGCAAATTTGCGACGGATTGTTTTTTCCGTCGCAAATTTGGGTCCGATTTTATTTCAAGTGCAAATTTGCGACAGATTTTTTTTTCCGTCGCAAATTTGCGACGGATTTATTTTCCGTCCCAAATTTGCGACGGATTTTTTTTTCCGTCGCAAATATGTGACGGATTTATTTTTCCGTCGCAGATTTTTTTTTCCGTCACAAATTTGCGACGGATTTATTTTCAGTCGCAAATTTGCGACGGATTTTTTTTTCAGACGCAAAATTTGCGACGGATTTATTTTTCCGTCGCAAATTTGAGACGGATTTTTTTTTCCGTCGCAAATTTGGGTCCGATTTTATTTCAGGCGCAAATTTGTGACGGATTTTTTTTCCGTCGCAAATTTGGGTCCGATTTTATTTTAGGCGCAAATTTGCGACGGATTTATTTTCCGTAGCAAATTTGCGACGGATTTTTTTTTCCGTCGCAAATTTGCGACGGATTTATTTTCCGTCGCAAATTTGCCATGGATTTTTTTTTTCCGTCGTAAATTTGTGACGGATTTTTTTTTCCATCGCAAATTTGCGATGGATTTATTTTCCGTAGCAAATTTGCGACGGATTTATTTTCCGTCGCAATTTTTCGACGGATTTATTTTCCGTCGCTAATTTGCGACGAATTTTTATTTCGTGGCAAATTCCGTCGCAAATTAGCGACGAATAATTTTCGTCGCTAATTTTGTAAGGAAAAAAAAATCCGTCGCAAATTTTCGTGGCAAAATCCATGTTTTTTTGTAGTGCTTGTATTCAAATGCAACTCCGGTCTGTCGTACAAATGAAATTACACTTTTATTTATAGAGGGATTCTAAGCAAAAGAAAACGGCTCTTGGAATCCTAGAAACAGAAATGACTCTCATAAATGACTCTTGGTAAAGACTAATTAAACTATGACTAAATGCATTTAACTAAGACCAAATGAACTCTCCAAATTCTTCCACGAGCCCTGGAAGCCGAATAGCCACCTTAGAAGATCGACAAACAGCCATGGAAATTAACTAGAACACCCTTCAATTGATGATAGTCGATTAGCAGCCTCTAAATTGACAACAAACTTGCATGTCGACGTCTTGATGGTCTATCGACAACCATGAAATTGACAACTTCATAATAGATTCAACGTTTTCAATCTTGAACGCATCCAATCAAATTGTAGCCGAAATTGGCCTTTGCTTGCAGGAATAATGATTGGGCTAGATAAGAATCTTATAGCGAATTCAGCAGGAGATTGCCTCAATTAAAAGTACTATTAAGAATTCACAAGAGATGCTATTAGTTACTTGTCAACTTATCAGTATCAAACCTATAGCAGTTACAATAATGGTGGAAGGGACTCCAAACTTCAAGTGGTTCCAGAAGGATAGAGTATAGCCGCGATCCGGGTCACAGCGAGCCTGCTCGCACACAATCAAGTTGGCCGCCGATCCGAGCAGCGAGAGATTCCCTGCGACGCTGCTCACCCAAGCTAATATGAGCCACGACTTCTTCTCTTCCGCGGCAGAAATAGCAGCTGCCGACGCAGCCACCGGGCCTCCGAGCAAGAGAACTGAAGAACAAAGTGTCAGAAACATTGAACTAAAGAAGAAAGGGAAGGTAGAAACATTAGAATAGGAATGTGGAATTTGCGTGGACATGCCAAGATAAGATACAGAAACTACGGATAACCCTGTGGTGTTGTTTGCAGGGCAAATGATCGATCAGCGAAATGTCTCATCACGTATGAAGAATTCTTCTTACTTAAAAAGGATGGTGATGACGAATAGGTTCGAGCGATAGACATCAAACCAATAATAGTTAAAAGCATGTAATAGTTTAGGTAATGCATCCATGTTGTGCAATTGGTAAAACTTCAAAGCCTCCGAAGATATTTCGGTCATCGATAGACTGTTTGGTTTGAAGTTTCTCATCGGCACAATGGACAACCCCCAGACCAAGAGGCAGTCAAGTTGAGTATTCTGGTAGGCTAATTAAATGTCAGGTTCGTTCAGGAATAGCATCAGCGTACCAGTTGGCACATTCGAAGCGATGTTCGAGAACACCAAAATGACAACAGCAAGAACAGCTATCCCGCTAGCGCGATTGACTTTGGCATGTGGCTCCATCCAATCCGAGAGAGTGCTCGGAATTTCAGTTCCGTTGAATCCGTTGACCGTGATGAACATTCCGCAGAAGAATATCAACAGAGAGTAGGAGACCTGGTAAATTCACAAAAGAAATTGACTTTCAAAGAAAATCCCAAGTTCCCTTATCGAGAAATCGGGCACATAGAACCAGAGAGAGACTATACCTTCTCTAGGCAAGGCCGAGCATCTTTAAAGTCAAGAACTACGAGGGCCAGGGCGGCGGTAATTGCTGTCCAAGACATATTCAGACCCATCAACAAAGAGATCAGCATACCGATGGTGATAAGGTAAACACAGGATTTCCACAAAATCCTCTTATATCTAGAGGTCTCATTCGAAGTCAACCGGTTTCTAAGCGACTCGACATGATTTGCATCCCCATTCACGGTTGCAGGAGGGCTCTGTATGTCCATTGGCTCAAAATTAGAGTTCCGTTCTTGCAAGTTTAGGGATATGCAGTGCGACATTGTGGCGGCCAACAACGGATGAGAACTCATGTCTTCCTCGTCCACTCCTTCAGAAGCTGCATCTTCTTTGTCCTTTTGGATGGACAGTAGCTTCCAGTACATGCATAGAAGCATCAGTGCATTGACAAGAATCCCGATCACCATTGCAGGAAGAATTCCGACAAGAAAACTCCCAAATGAGATCTTACTCTGAGCAGCTATAACTAAATTTTGAGGATTCCCAATGAGAGTGGCCGAAGACCCAATATTGGCACTCGTGGCGAGGGCAAGTAAAAATGGATCCGGCGGAAGATTGTGTTGCGTAGCTATTTTGAGCACAAACTCAGTCAGAACGACACAAGACGTATCATTTGTGAAGAGAGCACTTGAAATGGCAGAGATCAAGCAAATCCGAAGAAGCAAGTCATGTGCTCCTTTGCTTTTCCAGGAGAGCAACTTACCCAGATGCTTGAACATATCGGCCTTTTCCAGATAGACGCTAACCACCATCGTCCCAAAGAGAAGGCCGAGGATTGGGAGGTCAATCGCGGTGTAAGCTTGATCGGGTGTTACGACCCGGAAAATCACCATAAGCATCGCTCCAAGGAGCGACCCTGCAGTTCTTCCTACAGGTAGGAATGGCACGGACGGGAAAACGGCCAATACCCAGAATATTGAAAAGGCAATGGACCCGAGAATCACTTTTTCGGTAGAAGCAAGTGCCATTTTCGGAAGATTCACAAGTTTCCCGAAATCGGAACTTCAGTTGGTGAGGATGTCAATTGCTATAACTTCACCAGAGTCATCCTGACAGGATACCAGGATCCAATACATAAAAAGCTATATGAACATCGCCCCCGGTGAAGCTGTTAACTTTCGCAGCCTACAAAACCATTCAAGGACAGAAAAAATGTAATAATTAGTTACAAATTTAGATTATCATCTCTTTCCCGGAAAGAGAGCCCATCAATTAATTATGTATTTGTCTATGTGGGAAAGAACTGAAGCCAAATTTAAATTTTAACTTTTGACTGCTGTTCTTTTTCATTAGAAAACGAATCTCAAGAGCAAGGGACAAAATTAAAAAACTTCGACCGACTTCAGGAATCTTTTCACCGACATAAGTAAGAAAACATAATCATAAGAAAATAAAGGAAACCGGCAAATCCCACTTTTTGGGTAATCCCTCTACTTAGCAACCAAAAATTAGTCGACTCCTGTTTAGTGTGTCAGCTATAACACAACTGACTTACGGAGACATCCCAACGAAGACAGCATTAAGGCAGCGGAACGAGAGAAATGATGAAACGGTGCCAGAGCTCGAAACTGGGCGTATTAATCCAAGAAGAATTGCAGGTGCCGAACAGAACGAGAAGAAAGAAAGAACGAAAGACGTAACTTGAAAAGCTGCAAAATTTACCTCACCCTTTGATCTTTATCAAGTCCCAAATCACAGTAAGGCCTTCAGCAAAATTGGGTTTATCAGCGCAATGAAAACTTTAGAAGAAAATTCCATGGAGACATGGACCCGACATGTCCAAGCAATTTCGACGAGCTCACAACAACCGAAGGAGAAAAATTCCACTCTTCATTGCACGACTTTTCTCAGAATGTTGCTTAGCGATCACGTAAATTAATACAATGAGAAAATCAAGAGATAACGACACGTCCTAACATGAGAACCTCAACTCGGTCGGAGCTTCTTGCACCTCCAGTCTACGTCTCGGCACTGCAAATTTGACCTTGGAAGAGGCTCTTCTCGGAGAAGAAACGCGTAACTGGGGACCGCATTCTCAAACCTGCATTGAGAATATTTTCATTATTAGCGTTTCATTACCCTTCGTTAAACGCTGTTAAATTGGATGGCACACAGCCCGTTCTTCTTCAAATGATGTCAAACTACGAGAAATTGAGAATCACAGGTTCGAGCATGAACAGGCTTAAAAGTCCCTGTCAACGCAACGGAATGCTCTTGATTTAAGGCTCCATTTGTTTGGCGGAAAATATTCTCCTTTTGGAAAATATTTTTCCGGAAGTCATTTTCCTGAAAAATGTTTTCCCGGAACATAATTTTCCGGTGTTCGGCGACCAATATGAAAAAGTTACGGAAAATATTTTTCACCGGCGACCGGGCGGGCGGGCGGGCGACCGGGCGGCGGCGGCGGCCGACGACCGGGCGGCGGCGGCCGACGACCGGGCGGCGGCGGCCGGGCGACCGGCTGCGGCTGCGGGCGGCGGCGGGCGGCCAGCGACCGGCGGCCAACGGTGGTGACCGGCAATCAACTTCCTCTCCCACGGAAAATATTTTCCCTCCCATGGGCAATTTTGCCTTCAATTTTGGGGGAAAATGATTTCCTCTTTGTGAAAAAAGGAAATCATTTTCCTCAAAATAATGAAGGATTTGGGGGTGGGGAAGGAAAATGTTTTCCCACGGAAAACATTTTCCGCCCCTGAACACCGGAAAATGCGAAAAATATTTTCCGGAAAAATATTTTTCCGCAAACGAACACAGCCTGATTTATCTTGCTTTTCACGGGAGATATGCGAAAGGAGTCTTTGTACCTATTTATTCCTCTCGATCTCTAAAGTCCGCCTTAATAATGGACTGCTCAATCTCTACTGTCAACCTTCTAACCAAAAAAAAAAAAAATCTCTCATGCCAACCACATTTTCAGCAGCGGTCGCTACATTCGAAGGCATAGTGGATTTTCAATTAACTTTTGTTCACAGGAGAAGTGTCCAAAAGTTTTAAACCTATTGCATTTTTGCTAATTCAGTCCTAAACATTTTAATTGTGACGGTTGAGTCCTAAACATTTTTCACTTTTTGCCAATTTAGTCCATTTAGCTAATTTTTGCAGGAAATCATTGACGTTGACAATTTTTAATAATTTTCGAATTTTTTTTCTTTTTTTTTCTCTTTCTTTTTTTGTGCCCTTCTTCCTCTGGCCGATTCGGCAACCAGTCAGAGGTGAAGGCTGGTGAGGGCCGGCGAGGTCGACCTCGCCGGCCTCTGGCGAAGCTCGCCCGCCCCTGGCGAGGCCAACCTCCCCGTCGCTAGGCTAGAGAGAACCCAGTGACGACGAGGCTCACCCTCGCCAATGGCCGGCGAGGAAAAGCTTTGCCAGAGGCTGATTTGTAACGACTCGAATTTCCATAAAATTTGAACCTCAAATGATTATATAAATTAACTCCATTTCAATTCTCCGATAAATAACTAACTTATTCACAATTGTACAAATAATTTAACCTTAGAAAATATACATCAAAACTTTATGTATAGAAACCCATCTCCACTTTCGCTGCGCACTCTGATCCAATTCTTACCAGTGATCTTCGGAAGTGTTTATCTAATTCTTCAGAATTCCTAACCTAACAAATCTGTAAAATATATTGGGCTGAGCCTAAGCTCGATAAATGAACTCTCTAGATCTAAGGTAAAAGATCATCTTACTACTCGACCCGGAAGCATCACAACATAATAACAATCAATATTTCATCACAATACACTTATATGAATCGCTATCATTCAAGGAATACCTTTTATCGTTTATATAAACGTAACTAATTCCTTAATCAATCTTGTATTCAAAACGGAATAATTCAAATACTCGAGAAGGACTAGATGCATCATATATGATTCAAGCACTTATCATCCAATCCAAATTCAACATGTCAAATATTTCATCTTCTATGAGCACGTATAATCGTATACATCAAAATCTACATCTCCAACCACATATTCGAATTGGTCAACACTTTCCCTCTTTAATAGCAAGGATATCAACAAAATAACGTGAACTCAAGAGGAGTACAGGATAATTATGTTCGACAAGTGATGAAGTGACTGCATTGCCTTTTCTATCATGATACGCCAATGAAAGCCGTTAACAACATTGCATAAGGTCATTCACTCAAATGCAAGTAGATAGCATATTATTTCATGATGCGCAGATACCACATAATAGCTCACCGATATACACAAGTGAGTTCATATTCGTCTCTGGTACCCATACAACATGAGTTCAGGACGGCACATAATAACCATGTATAACAAATACATGAATAAATATATCATCTTTCCTATCATGACATGGCAATGGGAACATCATCATCATTCCATAAAATCAATCATTCATAAGTGTGCATATGGCATATTACTTCATAATACCACATCGTATTTCAACAATTTATACACATGAGTTCACATTCGTCACTGGCCAGGACCATCTTGATTCACCAGACATCTCGACTCACAAGGCATTGTCACCACCAACTCACGGGGGACGGAACCATCCATACCCTTTGCCACGCCTTAGCCCATTCATCACGGGTGTCCTCTGTATTTGTGAGAATAAATACACCACTATACATCCACATGATTATGGTCATCTCTTAACATCATATCATGATAAAGACCTTGTAGAGAATCGTTCCATACGGTAGCACATCTGACTAACTCTAGAGTTTCATCCATAAACTCATACAAGGGAATTTTTTCGATGGCGAATAGGCCATGACAAAGGTCTTAATCACCTGGCATCATTCACATACATTTCATATTAACATAACAATCGCCATGTACATCTCATCATTTGCCATTCTCATGCAATTAATAATAAATAATCAATTGCGTGCACTTCCGCACATATATCCTCACTCTTTCCATGATAAGCCATCATCATTTAATCGGAAGCCATAAATAGGTCATCGGTAACTTAGCAACCAATGCTCATAAATTGACAACGTGAACATCGACAACTCAAATGATCGACCATGTGAATCAATATCATACTATTTTTCATATAAAAAATAGAAGTCAATATCCATTTATCGTCATTTGCAAACCATATGTTATTCATGGCACAACCACCATCCAGTGTATTTCAACTTCACGTGCAAGTCATAACAACATCACATTTGCCACAAAAGTTTGTTTATATTTTCATATAAACCGTGACATTCAAACAATTACTTGTTTTCAAAGTATAAGACTTCATTCTCTTTTTACCATATCATCACCATAAAATTTCTGATTCTTTGATCAGCTCGTTACAATATCAAAATTTGCAACTAAGCCCCCAAACTTTGAGAATTTACAATTTTGCCCCTATACTCTCAAAATTTATAATTTCATGAAATTTCGAAGTAAATCAATCATTAAAACGTCCTAAGTTTCTGATTCCGTAACAACTTCCAGAATTTTCGGTATTTGAAATTAAGTCTCCAAACTTTGTGAAATTGCAATTTTGCCCCTAAACTTTCAAAATTTGCGATTTAGTCCAATTTCGAAATAAATCAACCATCATAACATTCTAAGGTTCTGATTCTGTGGCTAGTCCTCAAAATATCCAATATTTGCAAGTTCATCCTCAAACTTGCTGAAATTACGAATTTACTCCTAAATCTTTTGAACTCATTTTCTTGAACCGATTTGATGTCCTTCAATTAATCTTACTTAATAATTTACTAATTAATACTAAAACTCATAAAATAACCTTGTTAGCTACACCCTCTTACTTTTGTAAATTTTCGAAATTCGTTCTTAAGTTTGCCGAAAATTACTAATATACCCTTCTCACGCCTAATTTTACCATATTCACATTTTTCTCATTCAAGATGCAACAAAACATACTAATAATCTCTCAAAGACATTCTAGGCATGTAGAGAACTTTGTAATTCAAGCTCAACAATCACAATAGTGTAACGTGCAATTATGGAAATTCAATCATACATAGAATAGAATCTAGAACACTTGAACAAACAATCAAACAACCAAGTTCAAAACCAAGTAGATCAATCTAGCTTGGCGCCTAGATATTTTCACTTACCTTGAATGAAAGACTTGAATAATTCAAATCCTTAACCACCTTGTAAGATGCTTGATAGGCAGAGATTAAAAACTTGGAATAACACAAATTGGATAATCTTGGAAGCTTGGATGAAAATGGAGTTGGAGCTTCATTTGGTGTTTTGGGAGGAAAATTTGTTCTTGTTCAAGAGAAGATGAAGATGCACGAATGGAGGAAGTGAAGTGGGATCTTCATCATCCGTTTGAGTTGGAATTAATGAATAACTAATGTTAATGGCATTACGGTGGACAAGATAACAATAGATAATATTCTTTACTTATTTTAATATTTAAAGTTCAATTAAACTATAGTTAAGTGGAGGGAAAAGTGTCAAAAAAGTACTAAACCTTTTTTTGGTGCCAATTCAATCCTAAACTTTTTTTTGGTGTCAATTCAGTCCTAAACCTTTTGCATTTGTGCCAATTCAGTCCTAAACCTTTTGTCTTTGTATCAATTCAGTCCTTCTGGCCAATTTTGGCCAGATTTTGCTGACATGGATGCCGACCGGCCGGCAGCCAGTCACTGGCGCTGACGTGGATAACTTAAATAATATTTTAATATTTTTTAAATTTTTTATTTCTTTTTTTCTTTTTTTCTTTTCGTTTTTTTTTTCCCTCCCTTCCCTCCTTCCTCCAGACGGTCGCCGACCCGGCGACCGTCTGGAGGAAGGAGGGAGGGGAAGGAAAAAAAAAGAAAAGAAA